AATACAGAAACAGTAAAATTAAAATACTTCAAGCAACTCTTTCAGTTTTCTATTTGAACACAAGTTCTACTACACAGTCAGATATGGAGAGGGATCACTGACTTTCATTAAACCAATAAACTATATCTATGGATTTACTTTTTTATTAATCAAATCAAAAACTTGCAAGATCCAACATGAAAATTATATGAAAATACATGTACTTTCACAGAGATTTACTGACAAATATTTCATAATTTATTTACCTATATAGCAATGTAAGAGAGAAGCCAGGTGACATCAAACCCTCTTTCTTATTTAAATTTTAGCAGTATTTTTGCCCTGCTGTCTCATGTTCTGTAATAGCCCAACTTTCGCCAACAGGGGGCGCCCATAACCCATGCGTCCTAGCCGCGGTAGTCAGCTGTTTGTCAGCAGCCAATCACAGCGCGAGTACAGGCTGAACCGCCTTGCAGTGTAGAGCTCCAAGCGGCTCGGATAGTTGTCAAGGTTTTGGTTGTGGAATATCCGAGAGGAAAGCAAGGGCGGCTACTCTTAGACAATGCCGAATAAACCAAAAAAGGATAAGGTGAGTTTTACGAACTAAATACAGTTTGTGTTTGCAGCTAATGAAGTCTACATTTACTATATATTAGTGGATCTAGAAATAAGCCGGACACTAACTGGACGTTCAGTTATTAATGTAACGTCCCATCATCTTAGCACCAGTCATTGCTAGCTAGCCTCTATTTCACCAACATACTAGCACTGAGAGAGTCGTGTTGCTTTGTTCATATTAACTGATTTGCTGCGCTTATTTTAATGTTTTTGAGTTTTTTTTAGTTTTTTTTTTACATTACATAGGTGCCATTTACATGCTATTTGACCGGTATAGCCTATAATGGTTTTAAAGCAGCAATAGCTAGCTAACTCCGGACTGAAACATTATTGTGGCTGGGTGGGCAACCTTAATTTCTGTCCTATGATGCTTTTTTTTCGTTAAAACGAGTTACAACTGAAGTCAGTGTTTCTCCTGCAGGAATCTCCAAAACCTGGTAAAGTGGGAAAGGGTGGAGGACAGGAGAATATCGAGCATGAGGTAAATGAGAACACTCCCTATTCTCTATCAATGTAGAAATCCCCTCTTAAAATGGATCATTAAGGTGTTCCATTTGTCTGGCCAAAATTTAAATTTCTAGAAAGTAAAACTGATATATGCGTATAACTGATCAAATGAATAATAATCTAAGAAAATTTTTAAGTAACTGAACGAAGTGTTCTGGATTACACAGAGCGACTCTTATTTTCTTACCATTATTTATGATGTCAGGGTTTGTCCACATAGTCAGATTTAGTCCAAGATTGGGTGTAAAGGTTTAATCTTATCAAGAGCTGCTGAAGCAGTTATATTTTAATGCTGATAGAACACGTGGGTTGGTATGAGACTGACTGGAAGGTGACCCCTTAGCAAAAACAACAGTTTGCTCTCACAGCTCTGTTATGTTGTTTTGAAATGCTTAGATGCTTTTTTTTTATGAGGAAGAAACTCCATACATTATATTAACTGATATATATCAAATTAAAATGGATAATAACTTGGAAAGTATTTATTTGGTTTGAGCTGCTTAGATAGAACAGTGTATTATAACAAAATATAATTGATATTTCTTAAAATAGACACTTTGTTTTTAAGGTTTGCTGTCTTTTATTTTACTTTCAATCCAAACCTGATACACTCCATATGCAGCATTAGAAAGTATCAATAGTAAACCTTTACATTTAGCTTACATTAGGAATTGTGATTTTCTTTTATTGTTTTGTAATTAATAGTTGAATTAATCCAATATAATTTTCTGACAATATCATAGTATTAATCAATTTACTGCAATTTTTGTTTGACTTAAGCCTTTTTAATTGTTTTTAATTTTTTTTTTTTTTATTTTATTGCTATGGGGATTCACTTTTATGCCAATTTGAACAAGTTATGGATTATACTTTGATTGACATAGGTTGAAAGAAATATCCTTGTCTCTCATACTGTTGCAAACAATCCAGGGTTTTTATGAATATCTCCAAGTGAAGGGTTGAAACAAATAAATTAATTGTGAATAATTTAAATAATTGTCCACTTATTTAGTATTAGTCATCTTTTGGAGTATAGAGGCTCTAAAAGAAGCAGTTTGCCAAAAGAAGAACTCACTCAAGCATGTTATTCAAGCATATCTATACAAAATATACATGCATTTTCCATGTATGACGGAGAAACCTTGTTGGTCTCTAACTTTGTTTCTTCTAGAATTTCAGAAGTGGCATTTTTATGCATTGAATCCATTTGCCATTTAAAAATGCAAATGAAATTTTTGCTTTTGTAAGTCTAAAGACTTTTTTGAGAGCTATGTTAATTTACACAAGGCTCTTTATAGATTAAGCAACTAATAATAATAAAAGGACTAGATTCTTTGATAGCGCAGTCTGGCTGTGAGGTTGTTTCAACTTCAATAAAAAAAGGGAGCAGCTGAAGATTAACATTTCCTGACTTTGCTTGGTCATTGCCTCTAGTTTCATTACTGTTGTCCTTATCCAATATAAAAGCTCTATAAATAGAGATTGTCAGGATGCTTGTATTATTTTGACTTCGACTCTGAGTTCAAGAATAAAAGAAAATATGGATGATTTTTTTTTTTTTGAATCGGCTGTCAATACACAGCTATAGCAAACTGTTTATCTTAACGACTCTAGGAATTATAGTTTGAAACGTTGAATTTAACCAGCTATTAATGTTTAGCTAGCTGTTATAAAGGGCAGTCGTTGACATAAAGTTGGTCGCACCTGAATCTTATTGCTGTCTGAAGGTGAAGCAGCAATGTTATCACAGTAAAAGATGCCTTCAGCTCTCTTGGGGCTGTTACCTTGTCTTCGAATGTAGAAGCCAGTAAGTTTTTAAAGAAACCAATACAGTGATTGCATTAAAGGTGAGAGCTATATGTTTAACTCCTCCTGGCCAGTAAGTGGCGCTCTCACCCATTTGCCGATTTATAATTTTTTTCAGTACAATTAATACTTTTATCCTGCACTGATCTGCACCGCTCCTGCACTTTTGTCCTGCAATTAAATATTCAATTCAGAACTTTAGTATCATGACAACCCTAATAGAAAGGTGGCTGAAGATGGCTTTAATGGTAACTTGGATCTCAAGCATTCATACTAACTAGATTATTAATATTTGAGTAGCATGTTAATGCTAAAATATAGTTAAAATAATGTTAAAACAATCACAATAAACAAAAAACAATTTTTAATCACATTCTGTTTACCAGGAGTAAAGGGCAGATTAGACTTCTGCAATGCACACATCAATTGCAGCTTTTGTCTGGTCGTGAACCAGTTTTGCTGGTATGCTTCTGCACCGTCAATCTGTAATTTTTAGGGACGCACAGCAGTTTCCCGCCAAAGCGCAAGGGGAGCCTGTTTGAGAACTTGCGAGAACTTGGGCGGATTGTACTTCCGAACCTCCTCGATTAACCTTTTGTCGTAGTTGTCCATTGCAGTTGTTCCTCAGTTTTTGAAAATGGCGCGCCCCGGCACTGAATCGAGAAAGACGACCACACAGACAGCCGGAAAGGCATACCAAAGACCATTCACAGCTGCTTGAGGTCTACGAGGGTTTGCGACCGTCCGACGCGTAGTCAGGATTTTTTTGTGGTGCACGACGATGGTTGCAGAGCCTCTGCGCGGGGGGCGTGGTCACACAAAGATGGTTGCAGAGGCTATGCATCAGAAGCATAAATTGGCTCTAAGAAATTTTCTTACTCTGCTCATTAGGAGGTGGTAATATATTATAGAGGGTTTCCCGCCACACAGAATGGAAGAGAGCCTTGCTGCTAGGGCTGACTAATGATTATTTTGCTTATTGATTAATCTGTTGATTAGTTTTTGGATTTATTGATTAATATTGGATCATATAAGGTCCGTTGAACTAAATTTTGTACATAATTTAAACCAGGTCAAGATAAAGCGGTGCTAACTCTTTACATCCTGAATGCTAATTTTCTATATATTATTTACAATTTTGGTGTAAATATTGCTGAGTCGGATGCTCTATAGTAATGGTACACAGACTCTAAAACACACATTTTGCAGAATAAAAAACCCTACTTAGAGCAGTATTTAAGACAAAACCCTGCAGATATGAATGATAAACATTTATAAAAAAAAGAATGTGTCGTTTTTCTTTTAACAAATAAAACGTTTAAATGTTTAAGAATGTATATTTTTTGCAAGCTTTGCTATTTGCAATTTATTGAAGATTTTCAATAAAATTTTCCTTCCATATGTCAAATGTTTGTTTATTTAAAATTGTAAATTTTCTTAAAGTATCTCCATTTAAGTTAGTTGTAAAGTTAATTGATTGGGTAATATGTCACAACAATCAATAGGTGCAGCCTTAAAACAATGAAACTCTGAAATGAAACATCTACATGTTTCTGCTTACTTTAATAGAAAATCTAAATAAAAATTACGATCATGGTTGGTAAAAAGTAGCTATTTTGATTTTTGGGAAATGTGATCATCCCTAATGTTCATCTATGGTTTAATTTAAGAAAAAAAAAAAGATACACAGAATTGCACTGGGTGGATTGTATCTCATAGGCCAACAACCTCTCTCTCCCTGCAGCTTTTGTTTTTATTCCTTATGATCCAATCTCTTATTAACCTCACATTTTAAATTTTTAGCATAACCAAAATGTTCCTTCCTTAATATTGTTTTCTAAGTGCTACTTGGTCACAGACAATCTAATTACTCTTCCTTAACAGAAATAAAAAGGTCCAACAGTGCCTTGTACAAATAAAGAAAAAAAATTCTATCCAGTTTATTACAAATTCCTACTGAAATTGTAGTTAAACTTTAACAGTCACCTTCCAAGTGACACAGCCTAAGCTCCTGTTCTTGCACAGCCAGTTTTAGCTGGGTCTTAAATGAATGTGATAAATCCACTATGAGTCAGACAACAGACGGGTCCACAGCTGCATCAGCTGAAGCCTGATCTGCGCCATCAGGAGCGTGTTGTTAAACAGATCCCAGCAGGCAGGGAGAATGCATTGCATTCAGGTGATCTGACATAAGGAGTAGACTGTCTCACATATCTATGTGCTAAGTGGATTAGCAGGGCTCATTTCCCCTGTGTCAGCTTTTTTTTTTTTTTTTTACTAAAATATGCTTTCATTATTAGCTTCTATACATAGTACTAATTCTGGTGTATTAGTTCCTGAACAACTTCCTGTTTAGCAGAAAGCAAATACTGGTTGTAAATACATGTACAAGTCTATTGCTAGACTTTTCTTTAAGCTACATGCTACAAATTTGTAAGAATCTTAAAGAAGCTGCTGCTTCCACTCTGCTTGGCATGTCCCTGCATTGTGTCATGTAAGTGATGTCGGGTTGTTCTCCTGTTTCTACAGAGCTCTAACAGGAAGACCAGCAACAGTGTTCCTCCCACCACTCAGCTGCTAAAGGGGAAGCAGCCAGGTTCTCAGACACCTGTCAAAAAGGACAAGAGGCAAAGCTCCTCTCGTTTCAGCCTTAGCAGCAGCAGGGAGCTGCAAAAACTCCCCGCTTTCAAAGGTATGTACCTTTGTAGTCATATCTGCTTTCTCACATTCTGTTTACAGTGTTTTTAAGGTTTATTCTTTAAAATATGGTTAAAAAGGGATTCCAGCAAATCTATAACACCATTATATATTATAAGATTCCTCACAAGAGCCTTACTAATATGCTAACATTGAAACTCTTTTTTTATTTACTCCCTCTGTCCCATGGACATCCTTTGATGCTTCCTCATCCGCTTTTTATTACTAAGCTGGACTTGTTATGCAATACGTGGAATCAGAGGACATGCATGGCATGGATTTTGTGTTGGATTTAACCCAAGTGTCTATATTTAGTGGTAATCCAGAGATAAAGCTTTAATTCCATGTTCAGTGTTTGACAGTGTTTCAGATGATAGGGGATAAGAAGGTTTTCAAGTCTTCCACTATTCTGCTGTCTTGTTCCTCTGAGTTGTATAGGTGTATGTTGGAGTTGGAGCAGTAAGGAGCAGGCACTTCATAAGGCCTCTGGGCATGCTTCTGCTTATGAATGCATAAATGCACACAGCAGTTGAATCCCTGGTCTTTAGCAGTCAGAAATAATCGAAAACAGATGAGTATATTTATTATTCTGTAGATAGGCACTTAACTAATTGTGGTGTTTATGTAGTGTTACTATATGTAAAAAAGATATTTAACATATACTATGTTTGAAGAAATATCACTGCACAACTATTGGAACATCCATCCTCACCATTGGTTTCTGCATTTGTCTGATTTCTGAAGTGATCATGTGAGCAGTAAATACTTATAATCAGAGAACAGCTGTTCTCCAAGCTCCCTGAATCACATTACCGCAGCTGGATTTCTACCCATTACTGCAATTACACCATGCATGCAAACACTGTTCTCCGATTTCACTCGTTTAACATCTACACATAAAAAAAAAAAATAAATAAAATAAAAACAGCTAGCAAATGAGGTGGTACATAAGGAGCAACTTTGTTTAGTTACATTTTGCTAAGTTTGCAAGTTGTAAGCTAAGTACTCCAAGAGAGAGGTGTGGCCATAATGAGAGATGGTAACAGCTCTCCTGGGAGGCTTCTTCCCTATCCATACGGGGCAGAATGTCCTCTTCTCTTCAGGAAATTAGAAAAAAATCCAGAGGTACTGCTAACCAAATTCTTCTCCCGTTGAGACCTATTACATTCCATGTCAGCTGGCAAAGTTTCACAAAAGCTCTTGGAGGCATCCCAAAGTTGTCTCTCTGCTATGGGCCCGTCATTTTTTAAACACAACTCTCTCCCAACAGTTTAGATTCTGAAAGCACATCCATTAAGCATTAAATGTGATGACAGATGGTGACATGAAGACAAGGATTTTTTGAATGTATCAATCTGTAGTAGAAACCAACTAGATATGATTCTGCCAACATCTGTGCCAGTCAGTCCTACAATCAAAACCTCTAACATATATTTAGCACAAAAAATGATTAAAAGAAAATCAAGTGTGCTATCGTTGTTTCAGAGATATTGAAGAAATCTTTTTTGGTCATTCAGAGGTCAACATTCCCCCCATTAAGCTCTGAATTGAATCAAACATATCTACTTATTCAGTGCTACTTGATTTGTGCAGGTAAACATGTTGTTTGTGAGTGTATGTGTTTGATTAGAATAATTAGCTCACACCTAAAGCAGCCAAGGCCGCAGGAGGAGATAGCTTACATGCAAAGTCAATGGTTAATGTGCATCAAGGTGCAGTAAAACGTTCCGCAGCGTGTTTTGAGCAGCAGCGCATCTGAGCAGCTGAAGCAGCGCGTCGTGAGCTTCTGAGCATCTGAGGCGCTGCAAACGCAGAAGCTGCTGGAGTTGGAAAAATTACATTTTTGCTGCTCGAAGCGCCGCGTCAACCAATCAGAGAAGCTGATCTGGGAGCTGGCAGGGAGACGGACACATCGCTGATGATATAGATCATTATGATCACTCCTCTGAAACAGTTTATTAACTCTTAAATAAACTTAAAATGCCGAAATATGCCGGCAGAACATGCAGTTTGGATTACATACATGAAAAGCACCTTCCAGCCGCGGCGGCAAAGAAAGGATAGGATAGCTCCGCCCAACGTGCATCAAACCCATGTTTTCCACCGCGCAGCCAGAGCAACAAAGATGCTTCAGAACTAAACTAGTAGAAGCATAAAAAATTAAGCAGCATGCGCTTTTTGGCTGCTCTTGCTGCTTGCGGTCTGAACATAGCATAAGTGCTGCTGTTGCGGACTTAAATTATTGCATAACATCACATGTCATTCCTGTGCTGGTATAGAATATAAAAGTGGGCATGTTTACCTGCTGGAGTGATTGTTTAATATTTAGTAAATCGTCAGCCTCTCGGATCCTTCAGTTATGACCTGCCATTACCCTGGTAACCCCTTGGTATTTCCTGTCAAGGACTTGATGGCTTTTCACAATAAAAGCACAGGTGAAACTTAAATTCATGGACTATTGCTAAATTGTTCTCTATGCACATCTTTTGACAAGACTTAGAGAGACCATCATTTTTGGAAAAGCTCAAAAGCGCTAAAAAAAAAGATCCTAAGTGCCACTTTGGTTCAACCAGAGCTGCTTTTGGACGTCCTTGTAAATCTACCCCTGCAGAAAGCACCTATGCTGGCAGTGGGCAGTGACAGACCAGGGTCTGAGCTGGAGGTAAGGGAGGATGATGATGAACAGTGATCAGGACTAAAATAAAACTGCTGTTTTTAAGGCCACCTAAAGACCTATTGAGAGCATTCTTTATTTCTACCTTTTTTAACATTATTTTTTTTGTATTCCATTTAAAGTGAAAAAGGCCTCGTCTACAACCAGTCCCTGATTGGCTGCTGTGTCGCGATTAAAATGAAAAGTTCAGCTCTTTTCAGCGATGACTGCTCCTCTCTCTTCATGCAGTGCTGCTGTTGGACAACACCTCAGTTCTCTCTCGTAGCACGAGTTGAGAGAGGACCAGTCAATACTCGCTCCATGGAGTTCACTGCCGGCCGCTTTCCTGCACTGTTTGGCAAGGGATACTATGTAAATCCACCGCTCTCGCTGCAGACGCCGCGCTTTGTCTGAAGGCACCTTAAAACTATCACTCTTACACTTGATTCCAATCTCAATCCAATTTTAATTATTAAAGTTTTAATTCTCTAAGATTTTAAGAAAAAAAGGATTGGTTGGATCATAAACACAGTTTAGGGACAAAATGGATTAACTTTACCTGCAAGCTGAATACTCACTGTATTTGTAAGTTTGCAAACAACATAAATCATATTGTGCACCTCCAGCTTAAATAGTTCATATCCGAACCCAAAAAACGACCACCAATCGCGTTCCAGTGTTTATTTAATTTTTTCTAAGGAGGGACATAAAACAAGAGCTACCAAGCCCACAGCTGAATCCAATAAACCACCGTAGTGTTGAAGGGCACCTGTTTGGTCCACAATTTTACCTTTGAGAGAGGAAAAGCAAGAGCATAAAAGAGTTAGTTGTTGTTGTTTTTCATGGCGTTTGTTGCTATTTATCACTGTGATTGTCTAAAACCAAACCTTGGGAGAAAGTTACTTGGTGTCACTTTACCCAATCAAGTCGAAAGGTTTTTCTGAACGCGTCTCTACTATGAACAGAAACGACAGGAGCAGTCCCAGATTAATAACACGGAGGATTAAACGTAAGATCCACACATTATCAGTCTGGCTCGCCAGGTTAGCAAGGGCTATGATGCTGAAATCCAGACTGTTCACAATTCATGGTTCTTTGCTTAGTCTGTGGAACAGGTAAGCTCTTTGGACCAGTTGGCTGGAATCCTGCTGATCGCTGTGGTAAACAGAACAGCTGCCCTTTTATATAAACGTCTCTGCATGCAGGAGATTTTCTTTTCTTTATTGTGCAAAGCATAGCAGTCCAGCATGGGTTATTAATTTAGTTCCTCCAAGTCCACTGAAATAGAGCTGTCTTTTTGTGACTGACCTCTTTTTCCTGGTTTAGGTACACTTGAAGAAAGGTTAGATTTACATAAAGAGTTTACTTTATTGTGTTTTGCTCCATTGCAAAGACATGGCTCACTGATAACAGTTATCGTACTTGGAGAGCAACTTCATCTCTGAAAGTTATGCACAATTTAGTTTTTTCTCAGCCTTCTGGAAAGATCTGAGCCTGACAGAAACACAGCCTCATTGACTCTGTCAGTGAGAAGCCATCTATGTTTGTCTCTGAGCTGTTACATCTGTGTTGTGCACAGAATCAATGAGCATAACTTAATTTCTGATAAACCTGCGTATTTCCCACACTTCAATGTTAGCTCTGATAACATTCTACAAAACATTATCCCGGAGTGGCCCAGTAGATGTTATCACTTGGTCCTGTCTAAACAGGCTCCTCGCTTGGCCTGTTTTCATTCCAGGCATGTTCACCACCTTGTGATAGAAACACATGTCCACAGGCCAGTCCTGCAGAGCCACACTGATGAGTCCTGGCCAAAAGAAACTCTTTCCTGTGCATTCACCAAAAAAACACTTCACACTTTTTTTTATTGTGGTTGTAGCACACACAACCCCATGGTGTATGCTTTGTTAAATGTTAAAGTGCTTGACATAAAGATTGTATTCTCTCCCGATAGTTCTTGTGGCATTTTTATAATGGACTTATCAGGTTTTGTAAGCCTTTAAGAACAGGAGATAAATAACTTTGAAAGGCTACTTTATTGCCCATTTAAACTGTCAAGGTGTAAATCTAAATTAAGGAAACAAGTTGTTGCTTATACTGTGGAGATATCATGCTTGGGTTTCACTTCGTGCTTAGCCTAAAGGGGTTTGGTGCCATCTGCTGGCCAAGAAGGATACACATTTGAATTTGTGTTGCTTTGATATGCTACCTCAGCCTAAGTTTGCAATCTTCCTATGAGTCATCTTGTTTGAGTAATAACACATGGAAGAAAATATTGAATATTCTTAGATAATGATACACTTACTAATTTGATGTCATATTACATTAAAAAAGACTGA